GCTGCTGGCGTAGCGGACCTACTCGAGAAAATCGCCCAGCGCATGCAAGAGCGAAGCCTGCCACCCATCACAGCCAGTGACATCGTGCGAGCTCTCCGACGGCAGCGCGCGTGCACTGCCATGGGGGCCGACCGACTACGATCTACTGACCTCCTGCGCCTGTCTGAGGCGGCGCTGGAGGAACCAGCCATGATCCTGAACGTGGTAGAACAAACGCAGACATGGCCCCACCAGCGTCTACTCGCCGTCGGAGTCATGAGGGCCAACCGACCAATGGAGACCGCATGCTGGGCCCCCTGCCCGAGATTGCCAGGCTGTGGTCTTTGTGCCGAGAAGATCATGTACAATAGTGGAACCAGGACTGTATTGTTCATTGGGACGCTGTCGCCAAAAGGAGTTCCGCCTTTCGCGAGGCGTGCGACAGGGCCCTGCGAAAGGAACTTGCAGCATGCGTTCAAGTGCTGCAAGGACATGTACTCTTCGACATTTCGCAGTTTTACGAGTCTAGGACCAAGCTCGGACATCAGGCCCTGGATCTGGATTTTCCTGCCGAACTAGTAGGCCTGGAGATTTTACAATGCACGGCGCCAAGAGCGCTCGCGCGGAGCGGGGCCTTTGCTGAAGCCTTCCTCCCTCCCAGGTCGGTGGTGCAAGGGCTCCGCTCAAGCGCCATATTTGCTGGGGCCATGACATATCCGGCACTGCAGCGTATCGCAAGCGACTATGGGCAACTTACACATAGGATCTGGATCGACGACCTCCCCCAGCGCATGCAAGGCAGCAGCCGTGCTCTACGCAAGGATATGGTCAGATGTGTCACTGGCGCTTGTAACGCCATGCAGGACGGTCTCGCCATCGCCAATAAGAGCGCCATCCCCTGCAGCTCGATGGGCGACACCAAGTACATCGCCAGCGCCATGAAGAAGCGAGGCCTCCCCATCCAGGCGAAGTCCCAGGCCGGCTACCTCGGCGCCGACCTTGGAGGAGGCATCACGCCGGGAAGACCACCTCTCAGCGGAGGCTCAAGCACGTTGTCATGAATCGTAAGATCAGTCGGCTTGCTCGTGCCACACGCAGGTACCGCATCACTGGCAGGCTCGCCCAACAAGGCGGGATTGCAGCTGGGGCATGCGCGCGTCAGGTACGTGGCGTATTTGAAACGAGGCTCAGCATTATGCGGCGACGCCTAGGCGACGCTGTGGAGCCGGGGCTGCAGGGGAAGTGCCTCGCAGCGCTTCTCGACTTCAAGGCAGCTCAGCGTGGCCCTGCCAGGCGCTTTCCCACGCGAGGCCATCCAGGCCTGGCTTAGTGCATGGACCGCAGCTTGCCCTCTCCAGAGGGCCATTCAGCATGCCTGGGCAGAGGTCGTCGACGCAGTCCGCGGCATGCCGATGGCTCGGCGGGCGCGGCACATGTGGGGGCCACAGCCCACCATCATCGTGTATCTCATGGAGAACGGATGGGGCCCCGTGTAGGCCAACGAATGGAGGCTACCACTTGGAATGGCCGATAGCACCGACACGTGGAAGTTCCAGGCCGACCGCCTCGCAGGCATCCCTGACGCCGACATCCCCACCCAGCTCCTCGCCGACATCAATGGCAGCGTTCAGGGGATGCACTGGGAGCAGGCCAGCAGGCACCGCGGCGGAGAGGGCATGCAGGAGGGTATCGACAACCACTCTTACCGATGCCTGCCCTGCTACCTCATCAGCATGAAGGACGGAGCCCGCCTCGCCACATTCATGCTCACAATCGCCGCCAGGGTGCAGGCGGAGGTCGAGAACCGCGACGCCGACGGCATATGCGACAGGCGCGGCCAATCACCGGAATCATATTTTTCAGCGAGCATGGGAGTGCAGTGCGCGCAAGACGCGTGCCATATATGACGCTGCCGATTCTTTCGTGCCAGATGCTGCAGCTCAGCAGCGTTCGCGTGAATGTTTTTGGGCCCGCGGGCTCATGTCCGAGCGTTGGGCCGCGCTGCCGCCGCCGCCTAGTCGAGAATCTTGGTGCGCACTTAGTGTTTCGCAGTCATTCGCGCGGTTGTTTGGGCTCCAATGGCAGCGAACTCAGCTGCGTATTCGGAGATACGAGCGGAGGGGGAGATACCGCCTCAACCCCGCTCAGAAGAGCAGGGATCGGCCTCGCTACTTTTCCGACGTGGGCCGCCATGTAAAAAGGAGATCAGGGGGTAACATCTGGGGCGCCGTGCCAAGTCCGATGCACGCTGTTACTCGAGGTGAGCTGCTTGCTCTCATTCTGTCTGTTGAATCCACGGCTGGTGAGATGGTTTATTATACAGACAGTGAAGGTTCATATTTGAACTTCTACAACGGACATGTTGAATCACCCCATGGGGAGGTCGCAGACTTTTGGGCATGGCTACGAGGGGCCTTGCGCGGCCGACAAGGCAAGATCACAGTACTATGTATCCGTTCGCACATGACCGCCAAAGACATCATCGACGGACGCGCCCCAGGCACCCTGGCTTACGGGAGCACTGTTGCCGAAGCCATCGCAAGGGGGAGTTGCAGACGCAGCGAGGTTGCCGCGACACGCCAGGCAACCGCGCGCCATTGTCGAGCAGAACGCATGCGTTGCAAGAGTGAGATTATTGGGAGGAGCACGCGAGGCATTGGAGTTCGAGAGTGAACAGATCAAGGTCGGAGTGAGAACGCGCAAGCGCGGTAGGAATTTGGCACCCGCCAGACCACCTGCCCCTGCCACCTGCGCGTTTTTTCCTTCGTGCATAGTGTAGACCTTGAAGGACATCGTTGCTCTAGATGCAACAACTCAGCCAGCAAGTGTACGCGATCCCAGTGGCTTCAGATTGAGTGTTGTGACTTTTTCAATGTCGATGGCACCTTTACGAGGCCCCCCCTTTGGAAAGCAGGTCGGTGTGGCGGGGGTTTTGTTTACGTGTCCCATCGGATACGGTTCCACGCTGGACTTCAACGTTGGTTTTTGTTCGCACTGTGGGTGTATATCGCCAACCGTCTCCTCGGCAAGTTGCGGGGCCCTTGTGCTGACCCTACCCCCACGGGCAAGGAACACGAACGTCGAATCCATGCCCACCTTTCGCCTAAGGTCCTCAGTCGAGCCTGGTGTGTTCAGAGGTGCAGCCAAGCAGCCCGCAGTGAGGTTGCGGCGGCGTGTTTCATCCTCATCGCTACGCGATTAAGCAACAGTCCCCAAAAGTCTCCTCCTTCTCCTCCTCCTCCTCCGCCTGCTCCTCTTCCACCTCTTAAGTTCTTCAAGAAGTTGTTTCCCGACGAGGCCCGCCTGTGGGCCTTTGAGCCGTCTTTGGCCACCTTGGCGTCTTGGTGTCATCTTGGCTGCGTGGACGCCGTCCTGGAGGCCGTAACCCCCCCAAGAAGGCATCACGACAGATCAAGGGGCCCCCATGACGGCCCAAGAGGTCACTAAGAGGCCTGCCAGGAGAGCCCGAGGAGGTCAAGCCATTGATGTTCCGTAGGCTTTTGACAGGTTTTAAATTTCTGGCATGCTTGAGTTTCCGACCGCCCCAGGCAGCCCAAGAGGCCTCTCTGGGCCGTTTTGTTGTTCGTTTGCAGGGCTTCAGGCAAGTCCTCTCGACCCGAATTGGGTGGGGGCCTCTTTGGCTGCCTTGGGGCTATCTTGGAGGCCTCTTGGAGGCCTCTTGGGCCGTCATTGGCGGTCGGGAGCCCGATCAAAAAACACAAGAACATCAATGGTTGTGGCTCCCTAGGGCTCTCCTGGAAGGCCCTTTGGAGCTCTCTTGGGCCGTCTTGGGGGCCTCTTGGGTCGTCTTGAGGCCTTTTGGGGGCCTCTTGGGCCATCGTGAGGCTGTCTTGAAAGGCTCTTGAGCGATCTTCGGCCATCTTGAGCCGTTTTGTTGTCGCCTTGGCTGTCTTGGAAGCCGTCTTGGAGGCCATCTTGGCCGTCTGGAGGCCGAAAAGACCGCCAGAAAGTAATTTCAGAGGGGATGATTTTCGAACCACTCGCGAGGGGAGGGGGGTCCTTAAGACTCTACAAGACCTCCCAGACAACAGACAACATGCAGGCATTCTAACACGCCCACTCCGTACAGGTACGGTGCCGGATGCCATTGTTTGTTCTCCTACAGCAAGGGCCAAAGCGTAGGCCTAGACCATCCAGGTCTAGGTCTACGCTTTGGCCCAGCGTTTTCGTTTGGGGCATGAGGTATGTCCAGGACGTGTAAAACAAAGCAAGCTGCGGAAGGCGCTGCAGCGCCTCACAAGTCGCTGCGTGGAACGTGGGCTGACGGCGGACGAGCGTGCGGGGCCGAATTGCCTCCACCAGCTGGCTTCCAATCTAGAGACCGTGCAGCTGGCAAGCAGCTCTCTGGGAATGCCATCTGGGGATCCTATCTGGAAACCCGCTGCGGGCTTGAGCAGATCGCTGCGAGAAGCGTGGACCGGCGAGCGCGTGACTGCGGCTGCCTGACCCTGCAGACCAGCTTCTCCTCCTAGAAGCCTTCTTACCCCGCAAGGAGCTGTCCTGGAACTAGCGCTGCCCGCCACTGTGTTGCTGGACTCGCCGACTGCACAGCCATCGGCGCGCCGTAGAATCCTCCGCGCGGCGCGGGTGCGCGACGGCGAAGTTGATGGGGGGTCAGGGGCAACGTGAAGGGGAGCCAGGCTCAGTGCCGGATGTATCGACCCCTACTCGTCCACTGATAGCCGATAGGGGCCCGATAGCGCACGCCGCCCAGGACCATACGGCTTCGCTATCGGGGGCCCATCGCCGATCTATCGGCGATGTATCGCCGAATCTGGATCGGTGTTTCCCCCCCCCCCCCCCCGAGCCAGTCCCCTACCTAGCGTTCTCCCACAAGGGGCCCATGGCCAGGAGAAGTTTAAGTCGGCCTGTCCTTCTACAGGAGGAACATTCAAACATAGTTTAAAAGTAGTAAGTGGACGATTTTTTTGAATCGTTTTAAAACTATTTTGAATATTTGTTGACTTTCTTAATCCTCCAAGATCCGCCTGTAGGAGGACATGCAGAGTGCTCCAGAACGCTCTCAGGGCGTTCCAGAGCGCTCTGGAGCGGCTGCGGCGCTGGACACTCCCTCCAGAGCCGACAGCCGACGTCGTGATTTTCTCCCAGCGTGGCTCCCCAGAGATCTGGACCTCTTCCCTGGGGACCAGCTCTTCATCTCGACTCGTGTTTTGGTGGTCCCATGGCCTGCCGAGGGCCCCCAGAGGCCGAAAACTGTCCAGAGTCCCTCGCGCCGTGATCTTTTTCTGCTCGCAGCGAGAGGATGTCAGGGGACCTCGGAGCTCCCCGATCTGTCCCGGCCCGATTCGGTCCCGGTCCTGGCTCGGTCCCCTGTGGGGCGCGCCCGCCCCGAGGCGCTGCTGTGCGAGCTGCCGCCCAGCGTCGCCGAGGACGTGGGCCTCGCACTGGAGCAGTGGGGCCGGCTGCGGCAGCGCGTCAAGGCCCCGTGGTCCCTCGAGGATGGAGGTTCGAGGACCGAGCTTTTCGGTCGTCGTCGTCGTCGTCGCCGCCGCCGCCGCCGTCGTCGTCGTCGTCGTCGTCGTCGTCGTCGTCGTCGTCGTCGTCGTCGTCGTCGTCGTCGTCTTCGTATTCTTCGTGTTTTTCTTCTTCTGAGTCGTCTTCTCCTCCTTCTTCTTCTGAGTCTGCTTTTTCCCAGAAAGGGCTCGGGCCCAGGGTTCTCTTTTAGTGTGTTAACCCCGGTTCTGACGGCTGTAGGTCCGGCGAAATAATTTTACGATAAGTAACGAGGTCGCGTAGGGCCAGCGAAATTATGTGTGAGGATGTCTCGAGCGAAACGCTTGTGTTTCAGAATTTGTTGGGGATGTCTCGAGCGAAACGCTTGTTTGTCTTATAGATTGTCCTCTCCCGGGGACCTGAATCCAGAGGATCTCAAGTGAAATGCTTGTTTTCACGTGCCCACGTCTTGAGGATGTCTCGAGCGAGACGCTTGGTTTCACGCCTCCAGGTTGCCCAGGCAGAGGTCTAGCGCCAGGATTTGTTGAGGATGTCTCGAGCAAGACGCTTGGTTTCACGCGTCCTCGTCGCCCAGGCGGATGTCTAGCATGAGGATGTGTTGAGGAAGTCTCGATCGAGATGCTTGTTTGCACGTGTCCAGGTTGCCCAGGCGGATGCCTAGCATGAGGATGTGTCGAGAATGTCTCGAGAGATACGCTTGTTTTCACGTGTCCAGGTCGCCCAGGCTGATGTCTAACATGAAGATGTGTTGAGGATGTCTCGAGCGAGACGTTTGCTTTCACGTGTACAGGTCACCCAGGCGGATGTCTAGAATGAGGAGGTGTTGAAAACGTCTCGAGCGAAACGCTTGTTTGCACGTGCCCAGGTCACCCAGGCGGACGTCTCACATGAAGATGTGTTGAGGATGTCTCGAGCGAGCCACTTGTTTTCATGTGTCCAGTTCGCCCAGGCGGATGTTTAGCATGAGAATGTGTTGAGGATGTTTTGAGCGAAACGCTTGTCCCAGCACGTTCCGTAGCGCGTCCCCTTGGCACGTCCCGCGGTGCGTCCCCATGGCACGTCCCCTGGCACGTCGCTTGGCGCGTCCCTTGAGACGTTTCTCGCGGCGCGTCCTCCTGGCATGTTCCCCTGCCAATTAGCTCTGGGCCAACTACTGCGTGATCAGGCAGCTCGATATTAAGATCCAGATCAGTTCGGTCAGGACTCGGATACAAAGGAGGACTCGATCCACAACGCTATACAGCACAATCGCGGCATGGCACATCGCAATTCAGCACGGCGCAGCACTGCACAGACTTCGGCACGGTACATCAAGATCGATACATTCAGCATTGCAACCTGGCACGTTCCTTGGCACGTTCCTTGGCACGTTCCGTGGGGCGTCCCTTGGCGAGTCCCCCTGGCACGTCGCGTGGCGCGTCCCCTGGCACATCCCGTGGCACATCCATTGGCGCGTTTCGTAGCGCGTCCCCTTGGCACGTCCCCCAGTGCGACCCCATGGCACGTCTCCTGGCACGTCGCTTGGCGCGTCCCTTGGGACGTTCCGCAGCACGTCCTTCTAGCATGTCCCCCTGTCTATTAGCTCTGGGGCAGCTACTATGTGATCAGGCAGCTCGAATCAAGATCCAGATCAGTTCGGTCAGGACTCGGATGCAAAGGAGAACTCGATCCACAACGCTATACAGCACAATCGCGGCATGGCACATCGCAATTCAGCACGGTGCATCACAGCGCAGCCCTCGGCAGCGTACATCAAGACCGATACACTTAGCGTTGCATTTGCCCGTCACCCAATCAGGTGTCTTTGAACATGTTGTCATGCGTTCTATACATTTCTATATTCCTTTATGGGTTCGTGGGTCGATCATGTTCGTTTTCTTCGCCTTCGTCGTCGTCGTTGTTGTCGAAGATCAAGAACTGAGGGCCGAGTTGGTTTTGGCATGTTTAGCCCCCTTTGAGGCTCGCTGGGCCTTCCTGAGACCTCTTGGCGGCACAAGGCCCAACTGCAGATCTGTTTTCATGGGCTCTTAGGGTCGTCGTCGTCGTCGTCGTCGTTGTTGTCGTCGTCGAGGAGTCGGGGCATCGAGAATCAAGGTTTTCGGCCGCTTCTGGGACTCGTTGGGCCTGGCTTCTTGTCAACACTGCGGCCATCGAGGGAGGGAGGAGGAGGAGGCGGAGGAGGAGGAGGAGGAGGAGAGGGAGGAGAGGGAGGAGGAGAGGAGGAGGAGGAGGAGGGAGGAGAGGAGGAGAGGAGGAGGCGGAGGAGGAGAGGAGGCGGAGGAGGAGGCGGAGCGAGGCGGAGGCGGAGGCGGAGGCGAAGACGGAGGTGGAGGCGGAGACGGAGGCGGAGGCGGAGCGGAAGAGGAGGAGGAGGCGGAGGAGGAGGAGGAGGAGGAGGAGGAGGAGGAGGAGGAGGAAGAGGAAAAGGAGGAAGAGGAGGAGGGGGAGAGGGGGAGAGAAGGAGGAGGAGGAGGAGGAGGCGGAGGAGGAGGAGGGAGGAGGAGGAGGAGGAGGAGGAGGAGGAGGAGGAGGCAGGAGGAAGGAGGAGGAGGAGAGGAGCGGAGGAGGAGGAGGAGGAGGAGAGGCGGAGGAGGAGGAGGCGGAGGAGGAGGAGGGAGGAGGAGGAGGAGGAGAGGAGGAGGAGGAGGAGGAGGAGGAGGGCGGAGGAGGAGGCGGGCGGAGGCGGAGGCGGAGGCGTACGCGGAGGCGTAGGCGGAGGCGAGGCGGAGGCGGAGGCGGAGGAGGAGGAGGAGGAGGAGGAGAAGGGGGAGGAGGAGGAGGAGAGAAGGAGGGGGGAGGAGGCTGAGGAGGAGAAGGAGGAGGAGGAGGGGAGGAGGCGGAGGCGGAGGCGGAGGCTGAGGCGGTGGCGGCGGCGGAGGATGAGGAGGAGGAAAAGGAGGAGGAGGAGGAGGAGGAGGAGGAGGAGGAGGAGGAGGAGGAGGAGGAGGAGGAGGAACGGCCGTGGCTCCGCTCCTGCGGCGGGCCGCACGCTGCGGGCTTGCAACTGGCCGCGGGCGGCCACTGGCAGCTCCTCAACGACGAGGAGTGTTGCGCCATGTCGAGAGCGCTCCTCGGCCAAGACTGGGCGCTGTCAGGGAGCCGCTGCCAAAACAAGGTCCGCACTGGGCCGCGCGCTGGGCAGCTGTGCCACGAGCCTCTTCTGCACCAGGGCGCAGCACGCCTACCGCTGCGCCTGCGGAGGGGGCACGAAGGCACGCAGCCGCGACGTCGAGGACGCGTGTGTGAGCATTCGCACCGAGTGTAGTTTCCGCACCGAGGGGCAGGGGCGCGACCCGGCCAGGGACAGGTGGCTCTGGCGCTGCCCGGCGCCCGGCTGCGACGCACGCGGCTGGGCCTTCGCCCCGCCAGCAGGGCCTTACCGGGCTTGCGGGGCGCCCTCACCGCGCGGCGCGAAGATGGTATCTTCGACCCTTCCCCGGAGACTTCCGAGTGAGGCCAGAGAACGCCCGACAACATCGGCACAACGACGACCCCCGTCCGAATATTTGGAGCCAGCTTCGATCTCGAGGTCCCTGAGCACAGCGCTGTGAACATCAAGTCTTCCAAAAGAGCAGGCGAGGTGAGGAGAATAGGGATGTCCACTCCACGGTCGTCCCGCATCGTGACACGTTCCCGGCATGGTCCAGCCTGGTCGCCGCAGAGACAGAAACCGATCCCATGGGGCCCTCGACAGATTCTATAGGCTTACGCCACATCCGCCGACCACTTGACCGACTGGGGCGTACTTGTGTCGTCTTGTTTCTTTGGGGGGGCGGGCTCGGGGCTCTTCGGGGCCACCCCCGAGCTGTTCTGGGGGCATTAGGGGCCTCTCAGGGGGCGAATCTTACACGTCTGGAGACCCCGAAAGGACTGGCGGATGCGGGTTGCGTTGCATGTGTCCGGGCACGCGACAATGCAGAGGCTACAGGGTGATCCACCTGGTCTGAGCTGGGCCTTTTCGCTGGTCCGCACCAGTGTCGTTCATTCCTGCCGCGCTCTCTTCCGAGCGAGGGCCACTGTTCTGGATCCGCGTCATTCCTCATTCTTGGCGCCCCGCCACCGTGCCTGGGTTGTGGGGCTGAGGCCGATCGGATGGTTGATGGGTCTCGTGGGAGGCCCCTCGGGAGCGTCCTGGAAACAGTTTTTGCTCCTCTTGCGGGCCTCATGGAGGCCTCGTGGGTTTTTTTTGGAGCCCCCTCGGGGTTCTCTGGGGGCTTCTTTGGGCAATCTGGGGGCGTCTTGGGGCCGAAGGCTCGAAATGTCCGTTCGGGTTCCCCCTCTGGGCCCCATCTGAACGCCGTTCTGGGGCCCTGGGGCGTCTGGGGGGGGCACCACGCCTCGTCTCGACACGCTCACCATTTCCCAATTCCCAAGCTTCCACGTTACGAGCCTTTTCTGGCCTCGAGGTCGCAGGGGTGTTGTCCGTTCCAAGTTCACCGCGTTCTCCTTGTGGGCCCCGCGAGGCCCCCGAAAGTGCTTCGCGAGTCTGGCAGAGACATGATTTGACGAAGCTACGACGGGGGCATGTAGAGGCAAGGGCAGAGGCAGAGGGAGAGGGAGAGGGAGAGGGATACTGATGATGATGATGATGATGATGATGATGATGAGGATGATGAGGATGATGAGGATGAGGATGATGATGGTGATGATGATGATGATGTTGATAATGATGATGCTGATGATGATTCTGATGACGATGATGATGATGATGATGAGGATGATGCTGATGATGCGGATGATGATGATGATGATGATGATGATGGTGATGGTGATGGTGATGTAGTGATGATGCCGATGATGATGAGGATGATGATGAGACTGATGATTATGATGCTGATGGTGAAGGTAATGTCGATGATGATGATGATCATGATGCTGACGACGATGATGATGGTCATGATGATAAAGATGGTGCTGATGATGAGGACGATGCTGCTGATGATGATGATGATGACGATACTGATGA